CGGCGGAGGGTCCCAGGGAAAGCTCTGCCTTCCCCCGGGGTCTCCTCCAGCCCCGTCCTCACTGTCCCGATAAATCCCAGTGCTGCAAAACTCGTGACCCCGCCGCCCTTGTACCCCCACAAGAGATGCTGTGTTGGGGGGCTCCTGTGTGGCTTTGCTCCCCTGCCCCACAGCACTGGGGCTGGTCCTGGGGTGGTGTTGCGCTCTCCTGCCTGCATGCCCTGCCTGCACACCTAGTGCTGTCCCTGCAGCCCATCATGCTGCTGCCTGCGTCTCCTGCCTGGCCTCAGTAGCAGCTCGGACTTAAATTCCAACGCTTCGGCTCCTGAAGCTCAAGAGAGGGGACTGTTTTACGCAGTCTGATTTATGACTATTTTTTAAATCCCCTCGCCTGCCCTTAAGTCTTACATCAGGGGTTTCGGCTGATTTTAGTGGGGTTCCTGCAGCCCTGGCAAGCAGGGCCTGGCCATGGTTCTGGGAGGGATTTCTCTTTGCTCACACTGCAGGGAGCCAGTGGCTCTTTGGGCACTTTGTTCTGTGCCGCTGAGTGCTGTGTGGCAGCAGCTGTGCCCGGGATAAGCTGTTGTTCCTTTGCAGGATTGCTTTGCATAAGGGCTTCCGCCAACGTGCACTCTCGTCTCGCGCTGGCCGCAGGTGTTTGCCTGCGTGAGATTAGATCTTGGAGCAGCAGCCAGCTGGGCAGGGGAGCGGGCAGGGGAGCAGGCAGCCCTCTGCCTCTCCTCTGAAAGCTAAAGGTCTCTCGTGGGAAATGGCTTGAAAAGGGGGCTGGTTCAGCTGGTGCAAAGATGTCTCAGAAGGCGAAAGGGATTTATAAATCTGGGGCTTTTGAGCATAAGGAGCATCCCAGGAGCAAGGTTTGGGATTGAAAGGTGATTGGAGAGAAACGTCATTCAGAGGGTGATCGGCATATGGTGTGCACAGATGGGGAGGCTGATGGGGACGGCCGAGCATGGGCAGCAAGGGAGCCCAGCTCCCCTCTGGGCACGGGGAGAAAGGAGCAACGCCACTACAGGGTTTGGGTTTTTTCCCTTTTCTGAGAGGAAAAAAGCAGTAAATTGTGGCATCCCTTGGAAAGATGAGGGCAAGGTTTGCTTTTTCCATCTCAGGCTCTGCCTGTGACACAGCCCCACCTCTGGGAACGATGGGGGGGCGGGGGGGAGATGTGCAGCAGGTGCCCTGCCCCTCTCAAAGCCACCGTGAACCCTTTCTCATTGTGTCTGTTCACCTCCTGCTCTGGTATGAAGCCAGAGCAGGGCCTGATCCACTTCTGTCCTCTCCTTCCCTCCCCAGAACTCCTCGGAGATGCCAGAGACCATTACCAGCCGAGATGCTGCTCGTTTTCCCATTGTTGCCAGTTGCACCCTTCTGGGGCTCTACCTCTTCTTTAAAGTAAGTGAGCGACACCGGCCGCCGGTGCCTGCCATCCTCCCTGCCTGTCAGGAGCTGCCAAAGTGGGACTGACTCGATTTTTAGTTTACCGTAGCTGGGGGCCCTTAGCATTGGGACAGAAAGTGTGCAAAGCTGCACAGCTCGAGCCCTTCAGTGTCACCACGCAGGAGGACATCACTTCTCACCTGAATTGTCACAGTTTGGAGGAAACTGTAGCCTGTTTGTGCACAAGTTGGTTCTGGAGATCTGCCAAGGGGCGAGTTCACCCCTGAGCTCTGCCTGCCTCCGTGGGCCGACCTGACGTTGCACAGACTGAAACCAGAGGGTGCCGGGGACTGCTGAGTTGCAAATGCTGCTGTCTCTGTGTTGTGCTCCACGCTGCAGGCCTGGGGGATCGCTAGCTCATGGGCGAGCCCGTGTGTTCAGGTGAAGTCTTTAAGAGGTGCAGAGCCAGCAAGCAGAGTTAGATGACCATTCTTGAGTCACGAATAGGAGATCCCAGCAGCAGGTGCTTCTGGCTGTGTGGAGAAGGGGTCTTGGCTTAAAGCACCTTTGGCTGCCCACACATGTCTGGTGTGCGGCTGAGCTCCTGGCAGGGCCTGACAAGCCGTGGGGCTGCCAGCACAGAGAGGGCCTCTCGGCATGGCAGCTTCCAGCTCCACTGCCTGGGCTGCCTGCGAGGTGCTCCTGGCTGGCCAGGAGGTCAGGTTTAAGGTGCAAATTTGGGAATATTGCAGTTTGCAGTCCCTTCTCCGCTGATCGCAGTTACAGCGCAGCAGCTGACTGATGCTGTGGGCTCCTACCCTGGCTTGAGGGGCCACGGGCTGACAGCTGTGCCGTGTAGGTCCTTACCCTGGCATGGCCCTGGGTGCTGGCCCGTGCTGCAGGTGCACTGGGAAGGCAGGTGTGTGCTGCAGCCTGCGCAGCCACAGAGGTCAGCTCTGCAGCAGCAGACAGGATGAGGCCTCTCTAAGCAATATGCCCTGCTGTCCCAGTGGTGAAGTTTAGCCTGTGTGCTCATTGGGGCTGCAGCTCCTCTTGTAGGTCAGGAGTAGTAAAGCCGAGCATCTGCTGAGCGTCTCCTCATGGTGGGCTACAGAGTAGCCGCCAGATCCTGCCACCGGGCCCCTCTGGTGCTGAAAGGACCCCCTGCATCCCACCCCTTCCCTGTGACCTGTTTCTTGGGGTACTCCTCCACCTCCTCAGGTGCCTTTTCTGCCTCTTGCTCCTGGCTGGGATGGAGACGTTGGGAAAATAAGTACTGAATGAAGTCAGTCAGAATGAATGCAGCTGAAGTTGCTGCAAGCTCTTCCTTTTGATATCTGCAACCTGCCATGAGCTTTTATATTTCAGCATCCCCCTTCCAGGAGAGCACAGAGGACCCCAGGGTCCCCCCATGCTGGGCTGTAGGGGTGTGATTTGGCAGTAAGGCAGCCTGTGCATTGGAGGGCAGGAGTTCTAATAATACCCCATTTAATTAGGGCAGGACGCTGCAGTAGTGAGGCGGGGATGCTGCTGCTCTTCTCTGCTGGGGCAGCCCCCAGGAGCAGCACAGTGCCTCGCTCCCTGCTCCGGCTCGCTGTGCAGGGGATATGCAGGGGAAGCTCTCTCCTTTTTGCAGCCCAGGAGTTATTTTTTGACCTGAGCAGCTTGTAGATGCATGACAACTCGCAGGCCTGTTGTGCTTGTTCTGTGAGCACACGACTATTTCCAACGTATTTCCCATCAGTGGTGCAAGAATTTGGGTTATTCCAGCTATTCTTCTCATCTCCCTGGAGCATTGACACAGCAGTTGCCAATAGAAATGTGAAGTGCTATAGATGGGGAGGACGCTGTGGTAACTAACCCCTCTCTGAATTTCTCTTGCAGATATTCTCTCAAGAGTACATAAATCTTCTGCTTTCCATGTATTTCTTCGTGCTGGGGATCCTAGCCCTGTCCCACACCATCAGGTATGGCAGAGGGAAGGGTGTGACTGGGGCAGGGGTGTCCGAGGCTGTCCACTCTGTGACGCAGCGGGGTATTGAGTTTATTTGGGGGTTTCTGGAGCACCATTGCCTTGCAGCAGAGCCAAGTCCTGGCTCTTAGGGTGTTGTCCCTTGATGGTGTGAAGGGCCCAGAGCATGCTGTGAACCCTTCCGTGTGGGGGAACCAAAGTCTCGGAGGTCCTGGTGATCCAGTACCCCATACAGCATCACTGGGGAGAGCTCGTGGAGGTGTGAGTGGCCACCGTCATGGGACAAGGCCAGCTCGCCCGGAAGAGCTGCTGTGGCTTGGCACAGTCCTCTCTGCCCTGTGGAGGGAAGAGCTTCTCAGCACCCGTGTTCCCCTTATTGGGACAGCTGAAACAGGCAGCTGGAGCTCACAATAACGTCCCCATCCTTTTGCGCCGATGCTTGGCGTGAGGTGTTGAAAGCTCAGGCTGTTTCAGTAACTGAAAAAGTAAAACTGGTTTCCTGTTTCCTGAGCTCTGGGGCGTTGGGGACCAGATGCTTTCCCTAGATTGGCGCTGGGCAGGGGCTTTGCCTCCTCTCCCAGCTCTGCAGGAGAGCCGTTTGGTGGTGGCCCAGCCAGTTCTGGGTGCCCAGGGTGCTGCTGGGGAGCACAGGGCACATGCTGGGATCTGGGTGGGTCCTCCCTTCTCGCAGGCAATGTTGTGTGCCTCTTGCCCTGGAGCATTTTGGGGTGCTGTCACATATGGGCAGGTCAGACCTCTGGGGAGGACGAGGTCCTGTGTCTATGGCTTGGTGACTGAAGCTGGGGCTTCTGCCAGTCCTTGATGTGGCGAAACCTGGGGTTTCCCCATCTCGTGAGGGGGTGTGGGCCGACGTTCATGCTGTGACGCTGTCACATGGAGGTGCTGGCAGCGCATCCTGTGGGGTTTCTGCCGAACTGCCATTCTCTACACCTCTTGTTTCAGCCCCATGATGAACAGATTCTTCCCTGCAAATTTCCCCAACAAACAGTACCAGCTCCTCTTCACCCAGGGCTCCGGGGAGAGCAAGGAGGGTATGTTGGCTCGCTAGTCTCTGTGGGGGCTGGAATGTTTTCTGCCTTTACTGTTTTGTTTCTTGCTCACTCGGTGTTTTGACTTTCAGCCTGTTGAAACAACCTTCTCAAAGACTGACCTCTTGCTCCCCACTGCGCTTCTGTAGGCAGTGGGTGTCCTGTGTGTCCCTGCAGAGCTGGGGCTGCCACATGCATGTTCTTGCACCGGCTGGGGGTCTCCCTCTGTGCTGCCTCTGGCTGGCAGCAAAACCCCAGAAACAGATCCCGGAGCGCTATAGGAACGGAGCTGTGGCTGCTGTTGTTAAATGCACTGCCTTTATTTAAGCTTGGGTAGCACAGTACTGACCTTTTTGTGCTGCCTTAACTGATCTGATTCAAATCTTTGCACTGTTAGAAGATACTTTGGTAAGTATCCTGCCCAGTACCTTTACTGGTAAGGGAATACTTATTCTAGTGATACCACCAGGAGTTAACTGGGGCAGGAAGAGGGAGATCTGCCTCTCTGTGCCTTAGACAGTGCCTGAATCCAATTTCCTTATTGACAGAAGGATCGCAGATGCTGTCCGTGTGGCAGCGTCTGGCTGAAGGAGAAGGTCCGGGCTTGCCAGGACCAGCTGCTCATTCGCATGCACTTTGCACGTGTTTACCGTGGGCACGGCCATTTCTGTGGGTACAGTCCCCTTGTTTGGAACACGAGCCCTGCAGTCTGTGTTATTCCCCAGCTGAAAAGTCACTCATCTCTGCCCTGCACGGGAAGGGGACCTGCCCAAAAATCTGACTTCTCTGTTTTATTGCAGAAATAGTAAATTACGAGTTTGACACCAAGGATCTTGTATGCCTGGCCCTGAGCAGCATTGTGGGGGTCTGGTACCTGCTGAGAAAGGTAAGTGAGCCGTATCCCTGTTGCGGGACCAGGCTGGATCAGACCCGGGCCCCTTTCCACGCAAAACCTCTGCAGGCCGAGGCTGTGGCTCGGCACGTGCGGTGAGACCCAAATCTCCTTTTCCTGTTGTTCTCAGCACTGGATTGCCAACAATCTCTTTGGGCTGGCGTTCTCCCTCAACGGGGTGGAGCTGCTGCATTTGAACAACGTCAGCACTGGCTGCATCTTGCTTGGGGGCCTCTTCATCTACGACGTCTTCTGGGTAAACGGGAGCATTCCCCGGGGCAGACGCGAGTTGCAGCCGTTGGCGGAAGGCATGTGCGTGGCGTTATGCCTCTTTGGAGGCAGCACGCTGGCTGGACACACGTTTGCAGTCAGGATTTCCACTTTCTCAGCCCAAAGGGGTGTGGTGGGGATGACAACAGAATCCAACAGTGGCAGAACGTGGCTCAGCATATGGATTTTCTTTTAATCTGTGGCTTAGAGAGCCCAAGGCTGGCAGAGATCTCATCAGGGCTGTTGTGGGGTACCCGAGTGTGTGGCATATCCAGTTCTGGTGACCGGTATTCCCCAGTAAGGTCTTCCCAATGCCTGACAGAGCTGCTGGGTGGACTGGAGGACAAGGCTGCTCTGGGGTACACTGATCCTGCTTGTATGGGCTGTGCCTCAGCTCTGTTATCTGCCGGCTTCGTTAGTGTCCTGTTGTATTGCACAGAGGACCAAACACTGGAATGCCTCCAGTCTCTTTCCTCCCGCCAGACAC